TGTGCTTCCTTCCGATTCGGTCTCCCTGAACCCTAAAACCCTAAACCCAAAACCCTGAAACCCTAAACCCTAAACCCTAAACCCCTAAACCCTGAACCCTAAACCCCTAAACCCAAAACCAAAACCCCTCAACCCCTAAACCCTAACCCCTAAACCCTAAACCCTAAACCCCTAAATCCAAAACCCAAACCCCTAAGCCCCAAGCCCTAAGCCCCTAAACCCTAAACCCCTAAACCCTAAACCCCTAAACCCAAAACCCGAAACCCCTAAACCCCTAAACCCTAAACCCCTAAACCCTAAACCCCAACCCTAAACCCTAAACCCTGGCTTTTTTGAATCTCCGGGTGGCCGGTGGTTCTCCCAGATCGAGGGGTTTGGGCTTAGGGCCTCGGGCACCAGGTTTTGGTCGGGTTTAGAGTTTAGGGGTTCAGGGTTCAGGGTTTAAAGTTTAGGGGTTTAGGGTTGAGTGTTTAAAGTCTAGGGTTCAGAGTTTAGGGGTTTAGAGTTTAGGGCTTAGGGTTTAGAGTTTGGGGCTTAGGCTTTAGCGTATAGGGTCTAGGGTTTAGTTCTCAGCACAGAGCCCGAAAGCTCTTGGAGGTTTGCCGCCGCTGCGATGATGCCATGCTCGAGTCAGAGCTGAAAGCAGCGGTTGCCTCCAAGGCTCTTGGGCTGCATCGTGCGTTTAAGGAATCCCAAACCCAGCCGAAACCTGGGTTTAGGGTTTAGGCTTTAGGCTTCAGGGTTTAGGCTTTAGGGTTTAGGGTTAAAGAATCCCAAACCCAGCCGAAACCCTACTATAGGGGCCTCAACAATTTCCTCTATTATTTTGGGGGTTCCTTGTTATAATTCTAGTATAAAGGCCCCAAAACCCTATTCTAATTATCAAGGCCCCTATGTTAGAAGGTTTCGGGATTTCGGGACATGCAGCGGTGATCGTGGGGTTCCAGATGTAGGATGATGCTCATGACGATGATGATGATGGTGCTGACGGTGGCCAGACGGAGATTTGCTGGTCTTGCTGACGAGAGTGTCGATGTTGGTAGTGATCGCGATGGTGGCGATGGCGGCCAACGCAGTGGCGCTTGATTGCCTTGCTGGTTCGTTCCGGTCGGTGCTTCAGTAGCATTTGCTTCTCGACGTGTTAACATTGGATTCTAGATCAGGCTTATCTATTCATGAAGGTTTGCATGCTTGCGGTTTTGGAGCTTCAGGGTACGTAGTTTGTGGGATTCTGCTAAGGGTCAGGGGCCACCCAACTCATCGTGGCACAGAACGAAATTCACGGAGCCGACTACAATCAGTTCATGCCAGTTCATGCCCGGTTCTCTCTAGCTACAGTCGTTTTTTATGCCCAGCACTCCATCTCACTTCTACCCGAGGTTGTCCTCGCTGCATTCGGCATCATTGTCTCTCAGGCGCTGGCTAAGGGTACTGGGGTGTGTCATAACCGCCCTGCCAAGGGTTCAATCCGATTAATCTCGCAGTGCACTTAGTGGCAGAATGCCGTCGAAACCGAAGAAACCCTCCCAGTTGGGCTTTTGCGTGGCTTACGTGGACATCATCATCACCACCCTGCTGGAGCCCAATCTCCTCTCAGACAAGATCCCGGAAGCCGTCTTGC